ACAACTGCTTACGTTCATAGCATCGTTGCTGAATTAGCTTATCACAACTACTTATATATTTAGTCTTGTCTCTATATCAGCTTCATCACAGTGGCTTATATTTTAAGTCCGACCCACATATTATTATTTGACTAAGACTTGGGGAACTATTATGATTACTGTTAACATATGCATTACATTATTGTTGCCAATACGCATGTCACATTATCGCTAGTATGTCAGAACACTATTTTCTCCACAACCAATATATGTCACGTTATCTATGTTATCAACATGTTACTTACTTCACATTAGCAATATTGTTACACTGAGCTGTACAAGTATATCATCTGCTATTGTACATGACAGACTCTCTGTATAATCTATCTTGGAGAAGTTTAATTTTAATATCATCCACGTTATCATCATTAGTATTTGGAGGGAGAATGAACCCCAAATTTATTTTATACATGTGTAGTAGATATATTGTATTGTATTACGGGTTTGTTTAGTCCATATTACAGAGAAGGTGTTGTTGAAATTTTGATGAATTATATACAGTATCTATCTTTTGAGGCAATCAATAAGCCCTCGCTTATTCAGGCTTGCATAGATATTTTCCAGGCAATTCATAAGTCCTCATATATTTAGCTTATGTTCTCAAGGCAGTTCGTAAGTCTTGACGTGTTTGGGATCAATACATATTTTCGAGACAATTCACAAGTCCTCACGTTGGAGCTGCTCATAATTATGAAACATTCTGTAAGATCTCACCTACTTGACTACTTATATTTCAAAGTCTAACTGGAACATGAATGTTCAACTCAAACTTGGAGGACTATTATTATATCCATAAATTACAAGGCATATGCGTATGGAGGAGGTCCCACATTAATTGATGTGGCATCGACTATTTAATTTGATTGGGCCTATTAAATCAAGAAGCCTCGTCTTAGGCTATTTAATTAAACAATTGCATCTTGAGCTCAGCCCATTTACATTTTCATTTCTTTATAAATATGAGTTCATTCTCGTACTTGAGGTATGTTTATCTAATCCTAACTAAATCTCCTCTTCCTCACTTGCACTCATATTTTCTCGTCCGGCCGTTGACCATCGGATTGCAAATGATCGTCGGACCTTTTTATCCATCGACGACATTTGCCTTCTAACGGGGTGCTCAGTGTGCAGATTATGTCTATGTTATTTGGCATTATATTTGTTATTGGTCTAACGAGTTTATTTTCCATGGAATTATGAATGATGTATTTTAATTTTTGCCTTTATTTAACTAGTGCAAAATAAATGAAAATTAGTGAAGAATTTATTTGTCATTTATGCTTTAAATATTTGAGTTTGGAGGTCAAGGCTCCCACCATAATTGTTCATTTCCTTATTTCGATAGGAACAGAACATTTTCTTTATCTTCTAAAGAACACGTCTGCTCCAACTTTTTGACCCCAATAAAATCAATTTTTTTTAGCTTTTTTCCCTCAGTCGGGACCCACACATGAGAGAATTGGTCAAAAAAATTGGCTGCAACGGTTATAAAAACCCTTTTTTCCCCCAAAAAATTGGTATCAGATAATCCCTAAGAGAGAGAATGGTACCGTGTCGGTTTTTTATTTTTATGGAATATGCTATTTATACATAATGTGATGTCTATCTCTCTTACATGGAGGAGGATCCACTTCAAAAAATTCAAAGTAGATCTTTTTCTATGTGAGAAGGCTGAACACCCATATGGACATTTCGATATACGTGTAGTATCACCCTTTATTTATTTTATTATGTTATGATTTTATCATCCTTTAAGCACGTTACTATGTGTCTTTTTTTTCTTAAAATGTGTAATATATAGATACATACATCATTGTTTTTTTCTCAATGCTGCCATTCATTTTCATTTAGAATGTCACAATATTAATGATATATGCAATCCAACACGATCTTGAAAAATATTGCAGGCGATCAATCTTAAATTAAAAAATAATAATAATAATAATAAATAACAAAGCTTAGTATTTTGTTACTGTATTGATTAAAAAAATACAATGATCATATTGATCAGACATGCTATATGTACATCACAACTTATAGATTTTTGTACATACATATGATGTAATGAGATATGATTGGATCAAAATTTCTTCAACCAAATAAAAATAAAAATTCTTACTCTCTCTTTGACATCTCATCTATCTATCAAACTTTCTGTAACTCCTTATTAGGAGTAGAATTATTCTTAATTGATTTACATTCATTGTTATGAATAGTTTACTAAGCATTCGGTGCGGTGTCTCTTTTTTCCTTTTCTGTTATAAAGAAATAGAAGGTAGTATAATTATATGAATGTACATGAATTTTATGCTAACCACTAATTTTCAACATGCTATAAAAATGTGAAAGTAAAAGGAAAATTCTATTTCTCTTAGATGGCTATATGAATAACGCAAGGAGCCCACTCGCATTGATGTTGGAATGAGGAACAAGAATTTACCCAAAAATCAAAATTTTCTTCAATTTCGAGATCATGTACTAGATTTTTACGTGTTTGTTTATAATCAAGAGACTTCAATTAAAAATTTATCCAAAATTAATAATTAATTCTTGATCTATTGAATTAATTACTTTCTAGATCATGGACTTCCAACTTTTAATTTTAAAAACTTGATGCTTCAGATCTTTGAGTTTTCTATGGTAATTTCCGAACCCAGGATTACACTAACGTGTGTGCACTTCTAGACTCAGAAGGATCAAGGAAACAAATTTCCAATTTTTCTCTTTTATGCAGACCCGATAGAATACTATTTATAGGCAAAAATTTAATCTCCAAGTCCATGTCAAATTAGGCATCAATTAGTTTAATTCCACATGTAGTCCCAAAACTTTAATGATAATTACAAATAATTTCTAAACTTTTTAAGTAATCACAATTGAGTCCAAAAATTTTCTGATTTACTACAAGGACCTAATAGAACATATTTTATCCAAACTTCAATAATTAGATCGTGTCTATAGTCAATCCTATACCATCAAATCTAATTATTATTTGTCTCTTTTTTCACTAAAAGCAAAAGACTTAATTCTCAAAATATATAGGATTATAGAAGGTAATATATATTTGGAATACTTTCCTCTAATTTGTCATTTATATTTTATCCATATTCGAGATCAGATAATTAGGTACAGGTGCAATTGACCATTTTGTCCCTCTAACTCTCCGCACCAACTAAAGTACCATTTTGTTCAACGATCCTGCGAAAAGCACATATGTTGAAGATTAACCGTAGCTAAACACTAAGCTAAGATTTATAAACCTACCACAGCTCATCTTATTTTTCAGGATGATGGTTTTGGACACGAATTTGTATTCTCTGCTTTGCGCATTCTCTAATTTCCAACTCACCGAGATATTTGTTTAATCAAATTGATCTTACCAATTGTAAAAGATCTGTATAACCTAATTCAGAGAGTTAGATGAAATTCCTGGCGATCAAGTTGAATTTAATTCTCCATATGGTCATACTATAAAATTAAACTTGACATATAGTTCATTTAATACACTTCAAGCGCACTACTATCATCTTTAATTATTTCTACGAAAAGTATAAATTGTAAACCCAAATAATGAATTAGTCAACACTTTATCCTTTTAGTACAATGTGTCAACTCATATAAACTGATTCTAAACAAATTATTTATGACCAAAATATAAGTCCTTGTTTCACAACCATTATTTGGGAAAGTTAAAGATTTGAACAATGATTTTTAGGAGAATGTGTGATTAAAAAATAGAGGAAAGTTTTAGATTTATAAGCAGAATATTTTATTGTATGAACTTGTTGTCAAAAATGAGCACAAAAAGGAGTTTTCAAATAATTGCTAACAAACAGGGGCCAAGTTGTTTAAAATTTTGCTTCTCAACAAAAACACAACTTATATTATTACAAGTGATCGTTGACATTTTAATTCACACACTTAATAATATATAAATGTAGTAAATAAATAAAATAGTAACTTATTTATTATAAAATATTATTTCATCAAAAGAAATATATATATATATATATATATACACACACACACACACACACACACACACACTTTACGGCAACACAAACCAATAAATTTCCCACTTACCCTAGAGTTTATGAATTATGTCTTGCAATCCCTTATCTTGTATATGCTCCTCAAAAACCTTAGCCGTCAAGCTCTTAGCAAACGGGCCTCGACAACCACATCTTTTATACCAACAATCTCTCTTAAGAGATGATATTTCCGTTGTAAATGTTTAGCCCTCTTGTGCCACCTATGTTCTTCAACACATGACACTGCTTCACTATTATCATAATACAGTGTCAAGAGTTGTATATATGCAGACAACAACTCTCTGTTTGTTAAAATTTTCTTGAGTCATACAGCCTCATGAGTAGCTTCACAAACTGTCACATATTCAGCCAACATTCTGGAATTAGATAGGTATTGAGATTTCTATCAATTATTCTGTATTATTAGGAATCAATTTTCAATATTCATCACTAATCAATGAGTCTCGATGGTCAAGTATCTGGTATTCTTGCAATGAATCAGTAGATATTTGATTGTGTCCTATGTTATCATTAGTTTCTTGCTTTTTGGTTGCGATTGTGTTTTTAACCTTTAAGATTAATACTCAAGAATTCATTAAGAGTTTAATTTATTAATAAATATAAATGAATGGTGAATAAATAAATAATACTTGTGGTCAATTAAAATATGTGGTAAATGATAATGGAATTTGACAATTTATAAATAATTCGTAAATTTTGTAAAACAGAGAAAGTTATTATTAACAGGGTTCATATACAATAGACATTTTCTTTACTTCTCATACATTATTCTAAATAACCATAATGAAGTCTCACTTTGTGAAAGTTGTCCATTATCTAATATGGTAATGAATTGTCTAATCCGCAGTACCAAATATACTCGAAAGAGTAACAAACAAACCATTGAGGCAATCAATACACTTGACGCAAAAAGAAAGAAAGTGGTTTATAAGGGCAAATACCAAAAACAAAATATTCAGTCTGATTAAAGCCATATCTCTAAATTTGAAATCATACTAAACAAAAAAGAAGAGGATCTGCATCATGAGAAGATACAACATTATTTTCAACAAAATTCCCTAAGAAATGTCAAAATAGATATGTGCAAAATACATTATTTGGATCCTTCTCCTTTGATTTCAAAATGGCCACAGTAAAGAAATTCCATAGCAAAGTGTTGTTTCACTTCTTCATCTGTTCGTCGAACATTGCAAATGCCCCGTGAAACCATCAATACATGATTGCAGTTACAGTAACTTCGAAGGCAAGGTTTTGTCGAACTGAAGCCGTCAAAGGTTAACATGTCAAAAAACAAAATAGTCCTCATAAACTACCCATCATCACCAGTATCTGGTGGTGGGGATGAATTGGCTTCAATAACCCTAAGATAGAAACGCCAGGATAAATTCCTTTCCGTGATGGGTCTTTGACCAAAGGGGTTTTGCTTGACATATTCTTGAACATCATCAGCAAGGGCTAACCCTTCCAAATAAACACGAAGATCGCCACCAGGTCCTACAAATCTCAAAATACGACAATCATTTATCAGGCCCTGAAAGAGACTCGGAGAGAAGACTAGTTTAAGAAGTGTATATTGAAGATTAAAACTGATTTGAATATTAAGGGGTCCTTGCCTTGAAATTTTTTCTCATCTAACTATATCACTAATTACCAAAAGCAATTGAGTTATCCATAATGCAGTTCCAACGAGAGCTAAAGGTAATATTTGCATGTGCACCTATTTTGTAGCTTCAGTTATTGATTCAACATACTCTCTTTGGACAAAATAGGATGTCAGCATCAAGTATAATATTTAGGCTACTTATTCTACTCTCTCTTATTTCCCCACACTGAGTGCCTGTAACTTGTCACTGATGGCAGAAAAAATGCACAAAGCAAATCAGGTATTATATACTTCCATCTCACACAAATTATTGAACTACTGCATCCACTGGTTCACTTATTATGATTTTGTACTGGTTCTTCTGTCTCTACATTTCACTATCATGGTCTCACTTTTTAATGAATGATTAAGTATTCTTGAATGCATCATAGACAGCAAACAAATACATCAGAGACACAGGTTTACATATAACATCTGTGAGAAAATATAATACCTAACTTTTGGGTAAACTCAATCACAAAAGAAAAAAGACTAAGTTAAGGAACTCAACCTAATATATGATCACAATCGAATAGCATAAGTATGGTTTAGTCGAATATTACTAATTTAAGAACAAAGACTAAAGTGAAGAGATGAACAGAACCAATTACACGATTGCAATCACATAGCATAAGTACGGTTTAGTCAAATTTTCCTAATTCATAAACAAATATAGAAGAGTTATAACAATAAGCCCATGTCTGAGCCCTACTCTACAGAAATTCTTTTTTTTTTCTTTTCCTTCCAAACTCATTTTTAATCACACATTCTCCAATAAAATAATTTTACACATGAACCCAAAACCTTTTCATACTTTTTAACCATACAATCCTCAAAAATCACTACTACTAAACCTACTATCCCAAAAAATAGGGCTCAAAAAATCCTAAATATAAAGCAAAATTGGAAATCGAAAGAAAATACATGCATACACAAGAGGGAAGGGATTCCGAATGTTTTAAATTGAAAAATCTGACTTTTTTTTCCAGGAAATATAGGCCAGGGCAATACTATCAATTCCAGCAGGGCTCAGATATCACAAACAAATTTTTAGAACTTTATGGCTTGTTTGGGTGAGATTTTTAAAAAAATCATTTTCCTCAAAAAATCAATTTCAACAACATTCTATGGACCCTTAATTTTTTTCTAATTTTTAACAACACACTCCAAAAATTAATCTCTCCAGACAAGAACTTAGAATTTCTCATTACTTATATAGTATAAAATAGGGACAAAAGATGAGCCCGTCGGCTCGGGCAGCCAGAGGCGAAAAAAGCTCAAGCCAGCTTGGCTTGGGGCTCGTAGAACCGAGCCAAGGCTTGGGCCAAGCCCAAATTTCGAGACTTCGGGCTGGTTCATGAAAATGGCCCATATCACAGACTCAGCCCAGCTCGTTGTCAACCTTCAATTTTTTTTGTTTTATTAGTATTTAATTTAAGATTTAAATCAAAAAAGTATAACTTATGTATAAATATGCTTAAATAAATAATATATATATTATGCTACAACTATCTATATTTATAATTTATTATCATATTCATTAATATTCTCGTTATATTTTGTTGAAATAAGTTTTAAACTTTATTAGATAGGAGTTAATATAATATTATTTGTTATCTCGTGATGTTGAAACTTAAAAGACATTTTCTATTCCAATATTTTTAATCTACAAATGAATACGAGGATATTTATACACCTAAAAATTGTACTCTAATTCATACATTCTCGTATCTATACAAATATTTTTTTAATTGTACTGAAGTAAAAAAAAGAAGAAGAGCTTGTTTGATTTCTTTATATGAATATTTCATGAATTTAAAAAAATTAAAAAATTTGGGAGCCAGCTCAACTCAGTGAAGCTCAAGTCAAGCCTCCAAATTTCGGTCAGGTTTTGGCTTGTCTCTGCTCCAACTAGAAAAGCTCAAGCTTTTAATTTTTTACCGGGCTGCACACGAGAAGCGAGTTTCGACTCGTTGACACCCCTACTATAGAACATTGCTGTTTAAGCATATACAAAGTAGACAAAAATTGGGAAAGTATAGATAAATCAAAAAACATTTTGCAAAATCCGGCAAATTTCCCACAAAATAGAAAAACCCTACACGCCTAAAGAAGAAAACAGAAGACGACTAACCTAATGACTTGTCTCTTCTATCTCTGAACCGGTAAGTGTATGGAAAGATTGCTGTATATGGCTAGAAATTTTACAAAAAGAAAAAAGAAAAGTGAAATTGATCGGAATTCAATTTCAATCATGCAAAATATGTGATAGAAATATTTAAAGACTGCACGGAGAAAAATATCAGCTCACTGGGTTGCATATGGCCTTGTAAGGAGAATCGTCTAATAAAAGAGTGTTTGATTCATTATATTCTCCCCTCTCCCATGGAAGATCTGGCACACGCTTTTCCCATAGCTTTTTAAGCTTCTTTAAAAGAAGAGGCTTCTCCCTGTTCTCAATGGTATTGAAATCGGTATAAGTGCAATGGGATTGGTCCTGCAAAATATTGAAATTGCTCAAGGTCAAGAAAGCTATTGTAAAATTATTTGATGAACATTTAGACAGTCAAATTTTGAACTCGTGATCACTTGAAAGAGACTAATAAGCATGCAGTTTACATAGAGGAAAAACGTATGTTGATGCAAATAAACATAATATGAAGTCACCTTTGAAAAAATCCTAAGCAATATGATGTCAGCCTCTCAGTTGGAGCAGCAATCAAGGGGGAAAAAAGTTGAATTCTGACAGAGAATGAGGAAATCAGAAAGTTACAAGCCTTTTGGACAGTGAAGAGGTCAGCAATTTATCCATATTGTACCAACAATTTGTCCTTATTAAATAAAGTATTTGCTTCAGTAATTAAAGATTCCTAATTATGGTTTTTTCCCCAAATTATTATTTTAAAATCAATTTGCAACTAAAAGAACTGATTAGTAAATCACATTGGTTTCTGTTAAGTTAGTAGAAATGATATGAAAGTTTTCATCATTCTAATTTCTCTCACAATTCAGAGATCCATCATTCTTCGATCAAACCACCATTTATCAATAGGGTCTCGTATCCCACTAAATTACATGCATGTGAATGTAGATGCAATATTTTAGCTGGATCTATCCAACTCTGTCTGTCAATAGCTAAGCAAGAAGGCCAATAACTGATTGTGATGTGGCTAATCATGACTGGGGTTAAGTTAACTCAATCTCTGACCAAAGATGGTGTTGGCCGTCCTAAATATGGTGCACTAAAATTACATTGACAAATGGAAAGTTTGCTTGAAAAAATGTTAGGCTGCAATGCTCTAGCCTTTAGATTGCAGGGCTTGGCTGCAACCATTCTGCACCCTTGGGACTTGGTGGTGGTTATGGAAGCTTTAAGCTGAAGAGAGGGGAGGGGGAAAACAAGGGTAAAAGTGAGATTCAAAAGATAGTTTTGGGCCAGCATTGTATGGACTCTATCATGTATTGCCAGCTACGTTGAGAAAAACTAAATTGCACATCTTGCAATATTTATCAAATATATTCTGTGCCCTAGGAGCACAAAATACACAACACCGTCAGGAAAAGATGAATCAAATAGTCCAAGAACAATCGCAATTTATAGTATATCTGCTCACAGACAATAACAACTCAGCATATTATCTTCCAAGCAAGTCTGATGACTTGACTGCATGTGCATAAAGAGTGCCATCATAATCTCCTCGTTTCTTTTGTTATGCATGTAATCCACACAGAAAATTTGTTAAAGTCTGATGAGAGAAAGATAAAGTAGATGTTAGTCTTCATAATCTCTTTACTGTTGGCAATCTATGATGCACCGACAAAGATACGTGTGTCTACGATACGTGTCAGATACGTTGACACGCAATTTTTCAAAAAAGTATTGACATGACACGTCAATGGCACATTGATTGAATTTATTAAAACTCTTTATTTATATAGTATAAATTTAGTTTTATACCTGTTATTAATTTTTATTGTTCAAATCTTATAAATATGTGTACCTATTTGTTATTACTAATAATATTGAGTTAAAAATATATAATATTTCAAGTAAAAAAGAAAAACAATTATAGTAGAGTATTCGAGAAGTGTCAATAGGACACGTGTTAAATACGGACATACTACCCTAGTTGAAATGTTCGTATTACAGAGTTGGGAATTGACTCTAGCAACGGAAATGAGGGATACAGTGTAGAGGATTGATCCAACATGATGAAATGTTGAATCAATTGAAGGGAATGAATTCCAACCCACGCAATGTAGGATTGATTCCGATCCCATGAAATACGAGATTGATTGCAATCTCATCAAATAGAGGATTGATTGTTCTCTATATTAGTAATTTTCTTGTGTGGATACAGGTGTATTTACAATTGTCATACAAAAGTATAATAAAGCATAATAAGTCTCTTTCTTTCTAACATAGTATTGGAATGGGCTTGGGTTAAAATTTCAATCACTTCCTTTGAGATGACTAATTAGCAAGAGGTAATCAACAGGGCATCCAAAATTACAAGTTAGACTTCACAAATAATATTGATTTCGATATGTTCTATAGGGCTCTTAGTTGGATCAACAAGTCGACCCCATGGATGCACCAGTAAGCTAATATAAATTTGATGTCTTATTAAAACTTGAAAGATGTTTCAGCTGTGCTCATATCATTACATCTTAGAAGAGAAAAAGACAAATAACTCTCCATGGACATGTTAAATGAGCATCTTCTCCTACATGATTATCCAAAAGATTATTAATACCATACAGTATTCTAAGGGCAATCACTGACAGTGGAATAAAACGTATACAAAGCATGCATTGTTAATTGATGGAAAAAATAAAGAGAGCTACCACAGGTTGCCAGTTAAGCCAAAAATCAAGAAGCAAGAGCCTTAAGCTGCATCACTTATGAATTTTCATTGAAAATTGACCTACCCAACAGAAGAGCAACTTGCACTTATCATTCCCCAAAAGAAAATCAAGAACTGACTCCACATTTCTCCTGCAAAAGTTCAATAACTACACATCAGCCATGAGATTATACTGTGTTTTCCACAAGAAGAAAATAAAAAACTATTATTATAAAATATGAAATAATATCAATATAAACAACGAGAAACTTAATCATGTCAAGAAGAGTACTTATTTCTTGATGACCAGACCCCCACGTTAAACCTCTCAAAGCAGAACTTCAGAAAATCATCACAATAGGGCCTCTTAAAAACTGATACAGCAATTGAAAACTAAGTTAGAATTTTCTGGTCAATAATCACTAGCATTAACTTAGGAATTATTTTTAGCTTTTTTACCTGCTTTCTTCGAAATTATTGCATCTGGATCATAATCATAAGGTACAACTGAAGAAATATCAAGAAGCAGTCCATTCACATCAAGAACAAGAAGTTTCTTCCTGATGCAGCCACCAGAAGTTTTCTCCAGTGCCAGGTTAATATCTTCATTCACAGCTCGGGAAGCATTATCTCTTGAAGAACCACAATGCAATTGCAAATGGACAGTATCTACTATTTTAGACTGTTCCTCCTGGTCCAGTTGTGGAGAAGGGTTATTTCTAAATGTGTTGCTACAAGATGCTCCTGGGTTTAATATATCTCCTTCAGCAGACACCAAGTTACATAGTTCACCATTATTAACAGGTGTAGCCTCATGAAGGTCTTCATTTGGGTGATTATTTGGCATATCTGCATCACAACAACTAAAAATTTAGTTTAGTTTGAATTATGATATTACGTATTTTCTCACTGCTTGAAGCTGTATTTACAAGCCAGAAACAGCATTTTATAGTTTCTTCATTAACTTGTTTGAGACACACTTCAGAATCTTGTCCCTCATAATCACTCCTTTTTCATATGTCTTCTCAAAATAGAAGGATAAATATACTTTGAGTGACCTGACAAAGTATTTCCTGTTCTGTTGTATTGACAAGGCAATGAGGATTGAAGAGCAATCCCCTCTCGATGGTTTTTGAATTGACAGTTGGTACATCTGAGACCTCTCTCTTTCCATTATCAGTTGTGAATCTTCTCATCCTTTGATAGGTTATTACTCTTCCCACTTCTTGTAAAACCTCATTAACCTTGCACTTTAGTGTTATTTTATTAGAGCTATACCTACTACGACTAACAAAAGGAGCAGTGCCATTACTTTTAGCATTATGATACATCTTCTTTCTCTATTTTCCCCAATTTTCATTCCCAGGAGAACTGCATTATGCCCACTATATGCTCACTCTGTAGCTTTACTTTTATCCAAGCTAATACATTTGTTTATCTGCTCAATTGTCATCTTTCTCGAGGCCATTTTCTCCATTCACCATTAGGATCTGTTATATCCATAACCTGGCAGATATCTACTGCAGGAAATGTAAAACACTTCCTAGACATCACTAGCGTTCAATGAAGAAGTGACCTTTGGGAGATCCGGATCTATGATGCTGGAAAATGCAAAGTTTTATTATTTATTTCTTCTTTTTTCTGTGATAAATCAAGTGGTATTTATCTGATACAGGAACAAAAAAAAATTATATACCTTTTTTCTGATTCTGATCAGACCCAGAAATACAAGAAACATCAGGAGTACTTCAAGAGGAGCAGATTCCTGGTTAATTTTCCCGTTTAATATGTTTCCATTGTCTATAAATGGTTTAGCATAATAAAAACTGAAAAGAGCATTTCACAATATAAGAAAACTAGATCTGGTTAAAAGGTCATCATTCCACACAATACCATACACGAAACACAACAAAATATTCTTCTTCAAGAAACTTTAGGTCAGTTAACACGAAGTATCAAAGCAGTCACACTTATATGCAAGCTGAAATTCTTAGAAATACAATGCTCAGAAAGAGCAATACTTTGAAAACCTACAACTACAACTTGGAAGTTCCATTTATTCAGTATAATGATCCACATTCTCTGAACTTGTACTCAAAGGTCAAGCCTCAACTTCCACCAGCATATTAATATCTTTATAAAGATCAGGTTTTATTGAATCCACATTAGATAACACCAACTCAAATACTAGGCCCTTGTTTGAGCCATATTCTTCCAAAAATTCATTTTTTCAAAACTCATTTTCAACCACTCATTCTTCAATAAAATAATATTACACGCAAACGCAAAACTCATAATTTTTAACCACACATTCGACATCAATCACTATTTTAAAATGCATTCTTTCACTTAAAAGGGGCTCAAACAAGGGCTAGGTTGGCCAATTATGAAGGATTAATAGTAAGTAGTATTTGGTGTAGGAGCAGACAGTATCAATCAAAATGGGCAGATCATGAAAAGTTGTATTGGAAGACGATTTGGAAATTACTGTTCACTTGCAAGGACTTTGCTGCAGTCGATCTCGTTGCCATTCGTCACTACAGGTGTTCGTTTCTACTTTAGATAGGAGTTATTATTTCCTTATAAGTTAAGTTCCCATTATTAACGCATAGAAGTAAGCAGTCCTATTACTTGGGTATACACGTTTTTGTTAATAGAACCAGTAGTCTTTGAATTCTGATTACTTTTAAATAATATTTTGGTTTGGTCAATCCACTCCTAACAAGCAGGATAGAGGGCAATAGAAAACCCATCTGCCCATATTTTCTCAGTTTCGCCACAATTAGTTATCGGGTCCAATACTATACCAGGGCAAGTTCATCTGCTCAATTTATTCCAGCATAAGAAGCATAAAACACAAACAAAAACAAAATTAACATCCATATCTAAGGATCAATTTACACTTACTATAGGCAACATATACATTAACATATAAAAATCTCCATTATATAAATATACAGTGAAACCCGAAAAGAAAAAGGAAAAAAAAATTGAAGTACCCGGCAGAGTAATGATGCTGTTACAACGACGAATTTTGAAATCAAATTATTATTCAATCCACTGATTTATCAGTTGAACAGGGAATCAATGCAGCGCAGAACGCATAGAAATTGCAGAGAATTGAGAAAAATATGGTTGAGAATAAGAAATGGCGACGGAAGACAGAGGCGTAGATTGAGGGTGTACTTTACAATTATTTTATTGCAGAAGACCCCAAAGTTTGAAAGAGGGAGTATGATTGGGTTGACCTATTTTAAACATTTGTTTATCGGCCGAACACCTCCGGCATTTTTAATGAAATGATCGTTGATTAGTTACGGTGGCCTGTTTTTAGAGTCGAATAAAATTCTCGACTTCAAGAAATATGAAAATTTGCCAATGGATGTAACATAGTTGATGTACTCGTGTTGATTGTTTATAGATTGATTAGTAATCGTGACTTATTTCGGAGTCTACTTAAAATTTAGGCATCTAGGAATAGGGCTATCTATCGATGAAGGTAACATAGCCAATGTACTTGTGTTAATCGCTAACCTGCATTTCGAGTGAAATGACTATTGATTTGTTAGTAGAAATGTACATGAGCTCAATATAACTTGCTTTTTAGAAATGAAAATTCAGGATGTCTAGAAAATATGAGAGTGAGTGAATGGGGTCAGTGGCGGACCCAGAATTATAGTTCAGTGGAGGCGAGAAGAAATTTGATTAAAATAAATTGTGAAAGAAATCAAAAAAATTTGAAAATTTAAATTTAACAAGATCCAATTGAAGATTTTTGAAAATTCAGTGGAGACGACTAACCCCACTCTTCTCTTAGTGGGTACGCCCCTGAATGGGGCATTGAGAAGTGTTTACAACCAAGGTTGATAATGCATCTGCAAATGAAATGATTATCTTATCTTAGTAGAAGAAAAATTGTTGGGGATAATGATGGGCGTATTTTGGATGCAAATATTTGCACAAGGTGTATGTGAGGAGTTGAAGGAAACACATGACTCAATAGTTAGTATCTGCAATGAAGTGAAACATGTTAAATCTTCTTTTGTTATGTACAAAAAATTGAATGAGCGTGTGACTTAATAATGCAATTTTTCTTGGATATGCCAACTAGGTGGAATTCCACCCGTTTGATATTGGAAGCACTTTTAAATGATTTAGATTATTCGAGTGAGTTATATTCTGCAGATGAAAGTTCTATTTCTAGTGCGTCTTCTGTTTGTATTTTCAAGTTTAAGAGAAATCAAGTAGGAAAAGATTCATTAAGATGAAAATGACGTGAAAACATATTTGTTGGATGCCTATGAAGATATAGAGGACAAGCAGTTTGATGTTCTTAATTGGTGGATGGATGATTAATGGAAATAAGTATACCGCTAAGGTGGTGGAAAATTTTTTTGTGCACCCAAAATTGACTTAAAGTTACGCTAATAATAGATTCTATATGGAGGATGTGAAGAATTATTGTGACCTATAATTGAATAGTGATTTTTTGAAAAACGTGTAATTAAAAAATAAAAAAGATTTGACTTTATGTGTACTATTACTTTATCGGAAAATGTGTTGTCGACAATGAATTTAGGAAAAATGTATTTTCGAAAATGGGGCCCAAATAAGGTCTAAATAGGTCTAGTCACATACCACATGACTTGTAAATCACAGTCACATACTAAGTCATAAAATCACATAAAGTCACAATAACATATTAAGTCATGAATCACATAATTAATAAGTCACAAATCACACAATTAATAAGTTGCAAATCACACAATTAATAGATCATAAATTATCTATTAATCACAAATTACACAATTAACTAGTCAATATCACTAACTCACCCCCACCTCACACCACCACGCTGCAATCACCACCTCACTACGCAAACTTCTCTAAATGTATCCATCCATTTAGCAAGGTCAGCACATGGATCATTCTTGGCAAATATTGTGATCCACGACCATCGACCATCATAAATCTGAAATCGCAACCCTCCAATCTATGCAAAAATCTGGCGGTGGCATTGTAGCTATGATGAAAACACCATTTTCCTTGGCAAAATATAAAAAACCAATCACCATGGCCGATTTCTTTGCCACCACCATTATTTTTCCCTTTCACCATCACGCTCGTCCGAGCCCTAATAAAACCACTAGAAAAAGATGATTTGAGTGTATTTTGTTCATCATATTAATGTTACTCAGTCTTGAAATTTTGTTTGATTCTTAGTCTTGGAAAATTGCAACCAACTCTCAGGCGCCATATTGTTGTAATATTTACAGAAAGCTGTTATACGTTTTACACACTTATTTAGGCCACAAAACATAGATAATTGTTGGTAAATATATTGGAATATGGCTTAATTTTATATAAATTGTGTTTTGTAGGATAACATTGATGAATATGGTAGAATATAGAAGAAACAAGCGAAAAAGAACTAAAATGAAAGAAAACTAAAATATAGGGACCAAAATTAAATAGTCAAAAGATGACTCAAAAGAAGAAACGAAAATGTGAAAGAGTCGAAGACCAAATGAGTGAAGGAGTGAAGTGTCGGAAGAAGAAGAAGCAAAAAAAAGATATCAAGAAACGAGATAACGGAGTTCAAGAACTAAAATACAAATTTTGGACTTTTATCTAGTAGACCAAGCGATTGTATGATCAGCTTTTGGGAATTCCAAGGTTGAATTTCATTGAACTATGATATAACATGAGATTGTACTATACTGTAGCGTAGTACATTTTCGGAAGAAAAATTCTGGTTTCCCTATATGACTCCAACTCCTATGTAAACATGATTTGGGACGTCTTTAAACATCTAGGGCCGTCCAGAAGTGGTGAACATGCATCACAACACATTTTAAGAGATTTGGGAGCATAGAATGAGGCAAGAAATTCGAAGATCAATTCCAAGACTCAAAGATTTGATTCAAGATTTATTTGGATGATGTCGATTCTTTAATATTTCTTTTGTTTTCTTCTTCATAACATGTTAAGTTAGATTTCTTTGTGTTTGGAGAACGAAACTGCATAATATGAGTTTTTATTCTTTACTTTTACATAACTGATATTGAAAACACGTTTTTGGATATTAAATAATTTATATAAATTTCGTTTCTCCACAATTATTGTACACGATAGTTGTATGCGTATGATAGCTTATTTTATGCATTCGAATGAAGGGAAATAGGCTCGACATAGTATAAATAGACATAAGGTTCAATAGGGGATAGAAAATATACCGTTATGCCTTATATGAATCTTTTAAGTATTCATAAAAATTCATGCACTTTTATATATTCGTATTCGTCATAGAAATATAGTCGGATCATATAAAAGAGTAAGTTTAACATTACTCGAGAGAGATTGTTAAATAAAATAATAACATTAATTCTTCAAAATTCAATCGTATTGTCAAAGTGTAGACTTAAGGTTAAAAAAGACTATTGCATAGAAATTCGCGATCCTAACATACTTGTCATTCATTAGGACACATTAACTTTTATTTAGCATAATTTGCATTTAGTTTAGTTAATTCACTCATTATTGATATATAGTTTATTTTAGTTATAATTTCATCATACTAAACACGTCTTATTATTCTTATTTTGATGAAGAATAATGCTATGTAACTCCACTAAGTTACAACCACAGTTTAGATAATACTAGATGATTAATTAAATAAAATATGAAATTAAATAAGTCATTTAATTCTATCTGTTAATTAATGTCACATTAACACTATCTAAATTGAGGTTGCAATCCCAGTAGAGCTAAATAGCATTACTCTTCTATTAAGATCGCGATAATTAAAATTGAACTAAATCAATCTCTGTGGGACGATATTTGGACTCACATCCACTTTATTACTTGTTAACGAACCGTACAACTGGATAATTTATCTATTTATACAAGCATTTGCAAAATTCATTATGTAAAGAGTCATATATTTCATAGTATGACTTTACTTTTTCTATTTTCATTTTGTAGAAGTATGAACCTTTAGATATTCAAATTGTATACCCAAAAATTTCAAGTTTCTCTAAAAAATTCAATTTGCTAGGATTGCAGCCATTTATTGTCAATCATTTTCCAATCGATATACTTCAATAAATTTATTTTGATATTATTGTTATGGGTAATTAGCACAAAATGTTTTTACCTTTCAATATTATTGTGCAAAACGTCTATACCTTTTATTTTTTTGGCACTTTTACCCCTACATTAACCTTTTATTATGGAAATCATCATTTTCATCAAATTCTTGTGTAAAATGACAAATGTACCCCGTATTTACAATCATAGTCCCAAACTTTTTTAAAAATTGCGAATGAGTCCAAATAAATTATTAAAAGGGTAATTAGTACAAAATATCCATATCTTTCATTATTATTGTGCAAAACGTTCATACCTTTTATTTTTGACATTTTCACTATTATTTTATATTTCATTGCGAAAATCGTTATTTTTTATCCATTTTCTTAATTAAAAGCTGTAAAATAACAAATATACACCCCTCGTTAAATAAACAAAAAGATTTGTTCTCCCTGCATGATTTATTGGAGGCCCATGAGACTTGCAAAATCGTTATTTGGATGATATGGCATTAGTTTAATATTTTGGAAAGCCATATACTTTTTTAACAATGACAGGAATATATCATCCACAATATGTATTCTTGCACGGATAATTATCCGTTGCACTTTCAAGAGGAATATCCATGGCAACTATAAAAGGTTTTAGTTAAGTTAGATACCTCTAATCCCAATCTTCCATTTTACAAGCATGTGTTCGACTATTTAAAGAAGGAAATATCATTAAACTTCAACGTCTGGTATACGATTGGAATACCTTCGAGCCATATTCGTGTTTGTTGTTCTTCATTCCTCCACCTTGTCGAAGTTTGATGATATTTCTTCCATAAATGAACTGATACATGCCTACAAAAAAGGGAATATCGAGGTTAGAGAGACGTTGAACATATGGTACAATTTGAGAATAGAGATTTATAAATAGTAACTTCTCGCATCCTTCTCAAAAATCGACAAAGTTTAGTTGTATGTGGGTGAGATGACTAAATTGGCGGCTATGATTTTTGGGGTTGAGATTGGGTACGAATGGTTGGGGCTTCAAGAAATATATTGGATCGTAGTAGCCGCGCTTTACATATGATGATTTTGGTGAGTTGGATAGGTTGGTTGAGTTGTAATTTTTTTAACGGCTTTTAATTGTCATATGAAATTTTCTTGCTACATGTCAAATATAAGGGGAACAGAATTTGACCTACTATGATTGAAGTGCAACGTCTCAGCTAAGTAGATCACTAAGAATTAGTTTGAAATTTAATGAGTAAACTAAGACGCAGCATAAATTGGGTGAGTAATGAGATATTACTGGAATAATTTGATTGAGTTGTAATTTTTTTAAAAGATCTTAACTTGCCATATAAGATTTTCGTGAGACATGTCAACAATAAGAGGAACAAAACTTGATGGATGAAGTGCAGGTTTAAAGATGAGTGACTATTTAGAAATAGAGTTTAAAGTTTGAAAAGTAATGATAATATAAATTGGATTTTACTCGAGAAAATGTACTATTTTCACTGTACGCGTTATTCCTTCCACAGATATAGCAATAATAGATTCATAGTAGCATCTCTCTCCCTCGTTCTTTTCTCTGCAGATCTGATCCCCGATTACACAGGTTTTCTCTCTCTCTAATATTATCTCTATATCTTTGTACATGTATATGTATGCGTATTTTCGATCTCTCTACATTATTATCATCTGTTTTCTAACTGCTCTGTTGCTTTTCACTGATTTTGATCCGAGATCTTTTTTTTTTTTTTTTTTTTTTAAATCTTGATTGCTATGTTCAAACAAAATTGATAGTGACATTACTCAATGGTTTTCTTTAACTTACTTCTGAGCAAAGTGATCTGAGTTTCTTGCTGTCTCTTTCCTTTTTATTTTAATCTTGATTGCCACTTTGATCTAATGAACAATCGAAATTATAGGTCATAGTTTGTCTGGATCTTTTATGTGATTCGTTGTTATTTTTTCAACTTTTGAAAATGCAATCTCTAGTGTAAATTGTTTAGTGAAATTACTGTAGGAAAGAGTAGAGAAAAAGTGAAATAACTGATTGAATAAGCTTCAATTGTGATGTCTTTGTCATTTTCTTACTATAATTCAATAATTGCGACTATTTTCGTCTGAATTTCCTGTGTGATTAATTGATTTGTATCATTTTTTTTTCTGAAAAATGAAAACTTTAGTTTAAATCGTCAGGAGAAATTACCGGAGGAAAATGTAGTAGAAAAAGGCTAAATAGAAAAGATATTCCAGTTTTATAATATAATAAAGTGACATAATCAGTTGAATAAAATTCATTTGTGGTTTCTTTATCAGTTGCTTATTGTAACTCAGTATGCACGAACATTTTTCTTTTAAGATTACTGTACCTGACTACAATGAAAGCAGGTTATATATATTTGTGATTGCTTCGTGAATTTTAGACCAATCTAACAATGTGATGACAAATATTGGGTTGAATTTAAGAATTTTAAGTTAGAATGGGTCGTGGAGTTAGCAGCGGCGGGGGACAGAGTTCCCTTGGGTACCTTTTTGGAAATGGTGAGGCTCCAGCCCCAACTCAGAAACCTGCTGCAGCCGAAGCCCCTGCTCAGAACCCAGCTCCGGCGGTGAGCAAGGGGGAATCAGAGAAAACTCCTGCTGATGTTAGTAAACAGATTCCAGCTGGAATTCAGGGAAACCAAAAGAATAACTATTACAGAGCTGATGGCCAGAACACTGGAAACTTTCTCACGGTATGATTACGATTTTAATCAAATTATCATGATTATGTATCTGTGCTCACATTTATGCATTTATTTACGCTTGCACATGATAATGCTGATTCAGATGTTGAATAGTCTAAGTATCATGTCACTAATGTTGGACTGTGTAAAGTCTAATCATAAAATATAATTGCACTTATCTCCAAAAATTCCTAATGTAGAGGATTTTAGAGGGACGAATTCTGTGTGTTAGAGGCACGAGACCTTACAATCTTCACCATTAAAGCGAACTACCATTGAGGGGCAAACTACTATAAGTATGTGTTCGTTTTGCATGTTTCTGATTTAATTCCGTTTCTTATTATTCTTGTAAGAAGGGATTAAGGCTTAATCGATAACAATAAGATCTTCAGCCACTAGTTTTCCATTTATTTTACTTAAAATAATGTTTCCGTGTCCTGTGAAATTATTTGTTTTTCCAGCACTGTTGCTTAAGCCTCCATTTTGCAAACATATAAATCATTTATTAAGAGGAACAGTAGTGGATTCCACGAAATGTGTGGATAATAACTTAGTAATAGTTATGAATGTGTGATTGATAAGAATGTTTGACTGGCTTATTTATAAATCATATATAGATTGGCAGCCAAACAGAGGCTAAAATGGACGTTCTTATCTGCATCCTGTACCTTGTTTTATGTTTTACCTAACTGCATTTGTCTTTAAAGGATTGCTGGGCCGCAATGATACATCTTATCGAACTAATGGAAAGCCTGTTTAGGATTTCTTTACGGCATACGCATTGGGTTTAATCAAGATCACTATTCATATAGATCTTTTAGAAAATGAAGATCAACCGAATAGTCAGAACTGATTACATGCAAATTCGTAATTTTTATTCCCCATCTCTACTTAATTACATTCCAGGAAAGGAGAACAAAGGAAGATTGTTATGACATTTTTTTTTTGTCCTTGCATTGCATCATATTTCTAGTTTCTTAAACTTCGGCACAACGGGAGTTGATTCCTCTTGTTCCAACATCTACATTTTACATCTACATATATTTTCAGCCAATTACATATCTGTTTAACATCCTGGATTTTTGGCAGTCTAAGGAGCACGGATAGATGTATACTCATCACTTACCCACATCCGATACATATCTAAGATTGGATAATCTTCGATACCCATACATGTTTTTTAATTATTTTATATATTTTTATATTTTTTAATGTTCTGATACGTATCGGTTATGTATTTTTTAATTATTTTTTTGTTTTAATTATCAATACGTATTTGATACGTTAGGACACATGAAGAAGAATATTATTGGTGAGTTTGATTCTATCATTAATTGATATAAGAAGAATTCTTAAACTTAATGGTTACTCCATGGTTCACATGTTTCTTTGCTTAAAAGCATTGATTTGAAACTTCTTGTGCAACCTTGTTCTTCATCTTGTGCTGAAAGAAATTAGAATGCATATTCTTTTGTACGCTCTATGAGAAGGAATAAAATAACTTCATAACGAGTTAAAGAATGAATTTTCATTTTTAGCAATCTACGTTTTTTATCTAGAAAATTAGATCTTTATTCAAATGGAGAATCCAAAATGTGGGAATTGTCGGTGATTAATTTGATACTCATGAAGGTGTCGGACTGCTTGAAATTGCTAATCAATCATTAAATGAGCCAGAGTTGGAGAGTATTATTTTTAATTATAATGAAAATGTTAATGTTGATGTTGAAAAAAGTGAAGTTAGGATAATTAAAGAGTAAAATAAAATGCTTTAGTATTTTATTTTATTTTATTTTATTTTTATTTTTATGCCTTTGTTTTAAATTTTTTTATACTAATGAGATTATGTTGAATTTTATAACACGTATTTGCGTATCCTAATGTATTTTCAAAAACTGTATCGACGTATCTGTATCATATCATATTCGAATTACGTATCCGTATCCGTGCTTCTTATGTGACAGTGATGGAATATCAGGGTATGATGTTATATTCATGGTTACATGTGCATTCTGCTTACAGTTTCCATTAATTGAACTCAGTTGAGTACCATTTGGGGATAAACATTGTTCTTTTCCCACCTTTTAGCATCTCCATGGTCAGTCAATTTAATACAATATATCGCTTATCCAATCCGTTATAAGCTGTGTCATGAACAATTAACTTTCAGTTCTTCATACATGGTTATGTAATCTATTACGCTTACAATTTGCATTAAAATGATAGACAAGAACCTTTTATTTGACAGGATCGACCTTCTACTAAAGTCCACGCTGCCCCCGGTGGTGGATCTTCCCTCGACTACCTGTTTGGTGGTGGCAGCAAGTAATGCTTTGTCTCTATGTTAAAAGATGGAATTGCTATGTACTGTTCATCTAAGTCGTGTTTCTGTTTTTGGGCCGACAATAATTTCGTCTTTTAATTTTTTGTGTCATTCTGAATTGTAACATAGTCACTTCTCCAAATCTGGGAATTCAATTTACATACGTTGAGCCTCGTGATTGTAATCTTCAATGAAGTTTCTTTCTGTTCAGCCGTGCCCACTATTGACACTTTGTATTGTGTGAATGCCATTACATGCTATTACAGGGTATCGAGTTTACACCACGGGGGCTAATTTCCTCGACTTTGGGCCTACGAAGTCTTGGAAATTGACGTGGTACTGGAACAGAAAATGGCATATAGTATAAAGATTTGTTAGTTTATAGTTAATTTATTGATATATTAGACGGAGTAATGCTATTTAGCCCAACTAGATTATAAGTATAAACCCTCAGTTTATGTCATGTTAATTTGATATTAAATGATGAGTGGATCATTTAATTCTACATTTCATTTAGCATATCAACACTACATAGATCAGGTTATAACCTCCTCTGTGACGCTAAATAACGATATTCTATTAGATGAATAATACTATTTAGCAATACTAGTGCCAATTATCGGTCTATGTGATTACATAATATTAAATAATAGATTCATTTATATGTAATGTCACGTTATTCATTTAATTGAATCTATCAAATATGATCACTTAGACCGATGCTAGATAGCATTATACCGGTAATAAAACTAAAGCTACCCTTCTACTGGGCCACAAATTTTGGTCTATAAGAAAAGAGGCCAGTATATTATAGTTCCCAGTGAAAGGTCCACATTGGTCCAACCCAAGTTGTCTTCGCTCTACTCCTGCCAGTGCCCGTGCCGGTGCAAGTTACGTATCTTTTATTCAATTCGACTCATTTTATATCTCTACTTTACTGTGCCTTTAGCTATATCGAAGTGGGTTGGTGGTGTCCATTATTAGAGACAGTCTATGAAACTTTTAGAGGCAATAAACTTTTAAAGAAAGATGGTCTAACGTAACTTTCTCTAAAATACTTCCAAAATAAAAGCACTTACAGTAATTAGTTTTCACAAAAAAAAAAAAAAATAAGATACCTTCCTCATGAAGTTCTTTTACAAGAAACAATAATAAACATTATGCCAAACAGGCCCTTAATGAAAGTAATCACAAATTGAGTTTCAAGGAAAATATATAACAAAAATTACCTAGCCTTTTCGTCGATTTGAGATTTTGAGACTACCGTCGAAATAAAAAAGTTTTACAACTAGAGAACGCAAAAATGAATCTTTTTCCAGGCTAAGGCATAGCATATATGCTGTGCAGAGCCTCCAATTTACGTTACTTAAAAATCGAGCCAAAGTAACAACAAAAATGCTAAAATTTAAGCCCTCTATGTAACGATGTCTCACCATTGAAATAGAGAGAGAACCATTTGCCACAGCTTACCTTAAAAAGGCCAAAAGAACATGTTCATTATATAACAATTCAAGACTCGTGTCCAAGTCATTACATCATATATATTGTCCGCTTTGTAAGAGCCTCTGCTCTCTAAATCCCTTACGAATTTTTATCTCATCCTCCAAGATTCAAATCCAAAACCTCCATCTTATGAGAGACTTGAGCTGAATCCGATACCAATTGGTATCGGAAATATGAGACATCACCGTACAAGATTTGACCTTGTGCATTCTTAATCTTGTCAACAACTATCGTACTAAACATGGTTTAAATGCACTCCAAAGCGATTTATGAGAGACAGGCAAATAAAAAATGATGAGACAAGGATATCAAGAACTATCACCTCTATAACATTAGGTAACTGCCACAAATCTTCGTTAGTGTGCTAATAGTGAAGCTGAACTTCTACCGAGTTGTGGTTACAATGTGATGTGGTCATACCCAAGACAACAACTGTAACCAAAATTTCCGATGAGGGTTATAAAATCCGCCAATAATCTACGTCATCATAACGTCCTTGATTCAACCTATATACAATTACCTGGCATTCTACTTTGATTTGTCCTAAAATGGCATTCAAAGAAGCTATCACCATTTTTTGCAGCAAAATATTTTCTGTCAGAGATTAGTTCTTATACCTTTCACCACCTGCAATAATGAAAAATGAAAAATGAAAAATTAGATTGTTTAAATTCATGTTAAACAACATTTGCTTTTCTTTTTACCACAAAAGAATGAAAATTAAAGGACATAATACCAATGTGCCTATTTTAAAAGCAGGTAAGGAATATTCAAAATAAATACGAAGGAAATCACGGTCTGGCTTCAATGCCTATTTAAATTTGGGGAAAAAAAAAAAAAAAAAAAAACTTAACAATATTGGTTCCTCAAAACTGGATTGGGGTAATAATATCACATTCAAGTTTAATGTGCATAATCATAATAATCCTTGCCTAGAAGCACTGTTAATATGTTCTCATTCTTATCTTCTTCTTGCACTACTACTATTTTTTTTTTAAATTTTTCCTATTATAAAAATTATACATGATAAAACACCATCGTGGTAATCTACATCAACAAGATGGCACACTCGAAGTTGAGGAGTGGCATCAGAGGCACAACCGTCGCTTCACGCACTTGGACGGAGCTGGAGACATGGATGCTTCAATCATCGCTACAAGGCTGTCTTCGTGTCGGAGACCTAGACGACAGAGGAGACGTGGATGGCGCCAATCATTGCTGCTGCTACAGTTCGGGTGCTAATGGTGTGCTACAGGTGGTTGAGGCAGGTATTTGTGGATCTGCGGCAAGGTAAGGTGGTTTTGGTTTTGTTTGTTGGAGTGGTGGCGATGGCTTTTTTGGCCGGCTGCTGATATGGTGGTTGGTTGCGGTGATGGTGGTACCGTGATGGTTTCTTCTTGCCTATTCTATCAAAGAGTGTTTGGGTGTGGTGGTGGCAGAAAATGGCGAAGATGGTGATGGTGGGAGAAGCGACAACAACGATATAGCGATGGCGTTTTGGATCTGATTTGTTGTTGGAGAGCTGGTGGTGGTGGAGCGGGTTGTGATGGTGAAGTGGCAGTTCTGATGATGTTGTGACGATCATGGTGATCATGGCAGTGGTGTAGTGATTGAGGACAATGGGGCTTGTGACCATTTGGTTGATGGTTGTAGCCGCGGTTGTGAATTGGTGGCGATGGCAGTGTTGAACGTGGTCGTGGTGGCGATAGCGATGGCAGTGGCGACGGTGATGGTAAGTTTAGGAATTTTTTGGTTGGTGATATGGTGTGGTGTGGTGGAGATGGTCGCAAATGTTGGTTGTGGTCACAAATTAATTGGTTGACCGTGACCATTAAATTGGTTAATTTGTGATCAAGAAATAATGTGTCAAGTAAAAAATTGTAATTTGTTACCGATAATTTGTGATTGTATAATAAGTTGTCACTTATAATATTTGTGATTTGTGACCGATAAATAAATTATGCCTCATAATTTTTTTACTTGTGACCGACAAATAAATTGTGACCCATAAAATTTTTGAATTGTGATCGTAAAATAATTTGACTTATAAAATTTTGATTTGTGACCAAAAAATAATGTGACTAACTAAATCATAATTTGTGACCAAATTGTATAGATCTATGACCTTAATATATTTAATTAATAAAATATATAATTAATTAATTAAATCATGAATAAATTTTAATGAATATCTGATTTTTGAAATTTGAAACCATTGTTACTAATTATGAGATGGGTAATACTTAATCTCTTAACTATAAATTTTTCCTATTCATAAATCAAGCCAAGGAAGGGTTTGGCCCCATTTGGAATAAAAATCCAAGATATGCAAATTACCCCAATCCATCGTCTTCCTTCATTTAAAAAATCAATTCTTCCATTCGCCGATTCTGCTCCACTAGAAATTGTACTCTCCAGACTTCCAAATGCTTACAGACTGCTAATTGATGTAGATCTCCAATTGAAGTGCAAGCTGGGTCTGTATTCAGGGGGCGAAGAAAAATTTTATTCGAAAAGTTGGACTCACAATCTGGGAATTTTGTGCATGTGCGCAATGGGTTATAGAATTTTCTTGGATACTATTCTAATTGTAGGTGGACAATGGAGGGCAGTTGGAGATAGTATATGTGAATTTGTGTCCATACCACCTCTATTCATTGGCAAAGAAGAAGAATGAAACGCTGGGGACCAAGTATTTCGGTCAGTTTGAAGTAATAAAGCATATAGGGCCTGTGGCAAATCGATTGAAACTGCTGCCCGTTGCTACAATACACCTCGTGTTTCATGTCTCAAAAAAGGAAAAAAAAAATGGGAGCTAGAATTGCAGGTGGCCAGCCATCTGCTTCCTCCCCTTCTTGATGCTAATTTCGAGTGGATTGTAGAACTCAATCAATTCTTGGACATCCACCAAACATCAGAGGGGCAGCCTGCGGGTCAAGAGCATTAACTCAATGGAAACACCCCCTCCTCCTCCTGATGCTTCCTGAAAATTAGTAGACTCCATTTGGCAACACTTCCACCTTGAGGAGGAGGTGTGTCCTTTGAACCTGGGGGAAATGATAGGTACCCAATTCTAGAAGAGCCTAGAAGAAGTGAGAAGAATATGCATCAACTGAATTCTGTTGTGGCAAGTGGGGTGGGGCAATTAGTTAGAAAGGATCTATAAATAGAGAGGCAACCTGTAGTGGTGGAGGGCAAGAATAAAGTGAGTGAAAGTGAGGCTTAGGAAAGTGTAGTCCTCTCGAATGACTATATGTTATTTCTCTTTTCTGTAATCAGTTTTAGCATTCAATAAAAGTTTTGCTTATACCTATTCCGTTCTTTGGTTTTCCTGTTAGAACCCTATCACATCACCGCTATAACCAAGGGCGAACGAGAGCAATGATTCCCTTACATACCTACTTCAATCTACTTGAAGTGTTCCCCTTTTCATGGAGTTTATCCTCTCTTTATAGGTGACAGCACCTCAAAGTATATCAACACACTAATTTACCAAGAAAATAATACGAAATAAGGTAGAAACACCATAAATTGACTGAATATCAGACAACAACACGAGTATCAATTATTGTAGTGTAACTATCCTACGACCGTACAACCACGAAGATGACAGCATGTAAGTGGAGAACTCATCAGATTGCATTTTGTTAATGACAATCCAAAACTTTGGATCAAAGTCGGACAAAATTATAGGGTTTATGGAAAGCAGGTTGATTATTTTTCATACTCCAGGCAAGCTTATAGGCATTTCGGGTAAAACAATTGGTCAAAATTTCGCGTCCATGCATGCTAGTGAGTAATTGCAGCTAATAAAATTTTTCATTTAAGCCAGCCTACATATGTAGTTAAGGCATCTCAGATTCCATATATGACCTGCAAGTAGCAAGTGGATTTTATGGTACCTTAATTTAAGAAAGGGGAGTTGTGATCCTCAGCTGCAGATGGGTTTTATGGGAGAATTTCAGCATTGGAGAATGACGAATAATCTGTGCCATGACTTCCCGTGTCCACATCAGGTACCATAGCGGGTTCTGAGGCTCCAATTACCTGCTAAAAGATGCAAAGCAGAAGCAATGACCTAATCAATTCCTGCCAGACGAGCCTAGCTAACCACAAGAAACTGGTGATTAACATCACCAGATTAGTGAAATGATTGACAATCAAGGATAATGGTGAAAATTGACAAAGGTAACATGTTAGCAAGAGATGTAGAGAACAGAAGCCACGTTAAAAATACAGACTCTTCATTTGTCGACTTCACGCTTTGAATCTGAATCATGAAATTGAAAAAGGTAGAGGAAGCAGAGGCCATGCATATTGACTTATTTCATTTATTTCAGTTCTGCTATAAAGCTTGATTATAGAATCAAAAAGAGTAAATAAAATTAAAATTCCTTTTCCTTTTGATGGGCAGATTATCAAAAGCACCTGGTAACCACTTCGATGGACAGAGTAATAATGTCTCCTCTCTTTTGTCCCTTCTTTTTTTTTTTTTTTTTACATTTTACTTTTAAAGGTGCAAGATAAAGAGAATCACCACACCATGGCATTCAAAGTGATTTTATCTCATGCCCTGGTAGGGACACGTGCTACAATGACTGCGAACAAGGAGTCATTCTTCTCTCTACTTACCGCCTTCGCAGAAGAAAATCAATTCTCAAGTCTGTAATTGTGTCCATGTACAAATTGTTAAGGACTTAGGACTTCGTGATTAGTGAATTTTGTACACTTATTTATGCCACATTACTAAACTTGTATGCCATCAAATTAGTGATTTTATACTTAATTTGAGTTAATTTTCGTTTGTTTCAGTGTTCAACTCATTTGAAGTAACTTGGAAAAAAAATAAGGATCAATTGGCTATTGGATGCAAATTTTGGGGATCAAAGTCTACACAATTGATGAATTCAAAGACTACATGGCGTTAACTTAGAAGATTGGATGACTTGAAGAAAATATCAAATTAATTGGGCCTCAATTGGATTCTTTGTTGGAATTAAATTGGACTTCAATTCACAAAATGGTGGGCTGCTAGAGAACCAAAAAGGCTGCTTTGATTATGTATATATACATACAGAAACCGAAGGAAATTGGGGGGCTGCCATATTATATATTGATAATTTCACAAGCAACAATGGAAGGAGAGGAGAAAACGAGCTGCCTGCTGAAAATATATACATTAAAAAACAGGAAAAGGCAGCTGGAATTGGGAGACGGCAGAACACATAAGGGAGAAAAAAGCAGAATATAAACACAGAAACTGATACAGAAAAGGCAGCAGCTTTGGGGCGACTGCAGGCTGACTTCTTCAATTAATAAAGTCGGCAGTGGAAAGATACATATACACACATAGGAGCAGAAATTGGAGAAAATAAAAACGAGCTGCCTGCTGGAAATATTTACATTAAAAATAAATAAATAAAATAAAAAAATGCGGTGGCAGCCAACTTGGGAATGCGGTGGCTGCCAACTTGGGAAACATACACATATACACATGCACAAGTTGGAAAATTAGAGGCAGCGGCTGTTGGAGAACAACCAAAAAAGAGGGCTGCTGCTGTGGGAATATATATAAATATAAATACACACACACACACACACACACAAAATTGGAGAAAGAAAACAGCAGCGTCACTTTGGAAATTAATTACACTTCGTCAATTATTCAGTCATGTCGTTCAAACTTTATTTGTTTAATTCCGACTATATGTTAGGCTAAATTTTTTATTGCTAGGATGTGATGAACTATTGTTATGAAATTTTTTGTTTGAAATATTAAATTGACGTTAATTTGTTTAATTGTTTGGATGTTTATTATGTTTAATTTGCTTTTCAGTTATTTGGCCAACAATTGAATTGTTTGTGGGTTTTGTTGTCATCGAGAGAGAGAATAAGATCATTAACACAAAATAATAAACATTGTAAAGTTCGATAGAAGACAAAGATATACCTCTATGCTTCATATGATTTATATAAGATGTTCTAGCTCGTTTAATGCATTTATCATGTTTGCATCTTTCATCGAGAGATAGGAATGTCACATGAAGGAAATAGATTTGATTACTATCGAGAGAGATTTTCAATTAAAATAGGAACACTGACCAACAAGCATGATTTCAAATTGTCATTTTAAATTGTTGAACTAAAGATGGATTAGTAAGGAGAATTCTACATCTTAACAATATTTCTTGCGAATTTGATAAATTTCTGTACATTGCTTTTAAGTTAGTTGATAGATTTAATAGTGCTTATTACAACTCAATTTTGCTATTCGATTAAGGGTAGTGTTAGTTTTAACTTAATCAAACACATAGTCCTCGTAGGTTTGACACTCTACACACCCTTTATTACTTGCTCTGATCCCGTCCAGTTGTGGAAAATCAAACGATCACTTCGTATCTGCAAATTTCCCCATATGGTATCGTGCGTGTTTTTTCCTCACCATTTTGACAGACTCATATCCAAGACCAAACTTCAAAGTTAAAGCAAGTTCTTCCTTTTATAAATTTTTCCACATTTCATAGAAATCTTGGATTTTTACGTACTTTTTCATCTTTAATTTAAGTGTTAAATTTCCATTCAACACCTTCATATCTCTATCTTCAGGCACTCTTCATCTCCGGTCTCTCTCCCACCTCAAAGAAATCATTTCAGGGTTTTTTTACTGTCTCAAAGACTCTCTATGTCCAATCTCTGAGGGTAGGGGAGGAAAGGACTCCAGAGCAGTGATTTCCAGAAATCAAAGAGTTGAACTGTGAAGAAATGGCTTGTTAGTTGTAGCATATCTTCTTCTATAATTCAACCCAATGTACCTGGAGATCCTATGAAATGATCAGAAATTTCAGCTTAAAACACTTCAAATTTTCCCATATTCTTCCAAGAAGTGTATGTTTTACTTTTGCTGGTGCTGAAATTAAAAGATTCGGAAGCACAAGTATTATAATGGTTTCATACATTTTCACTGCTGTTGCAAACCCACAAAAGGCTCCCTCTCAATTCTTAAATATTTTTTCTCAAGTTTATTTATTTTTTCATTATTGTTATTATTGGACTAAGTTTTTGGATTATCTGTTTTGTATTCAATTTGTTATTATTTGTAGAATGTGTTCAGATACTAATTAGTTAGACCACCTTTCTACCAATTTATTTTTTGAGCTAGGGGGTTGATCAAATTGTTCGGAAACTGAGGGATCAAAGGACCAAGAAGAAACGTTGAAGTTGGTTCAATTTCAGTATATTTTGCTTGATATCTGATCTTTCCAAATTCATGAAAGGGGGAAAGGAGTTAGTTTGTATGGATTTTGGGTTGTAGTAAATCGATGAAGTGAAAATTTATGACTGTATAAATTATGAATTGTTTTAATGCTATAATTTAGACTGGTAAATGAGATTTTTATATTTCCTTTTATACTAAGAGTTATTTTGATCGTTTGCGCCTGGACCACTGATTTCAAGAAATAAAAGCTGTGTATAATTTGGTTTTCTCATGTCTTAAAACATTTTACCTAGAATGTAATTTAGTATTTGCGGACTTTGAACTTATAGGGTCAAGACGACAGCAGTGTCAATAATTTGTAGCATAAACAATGTAGTTATAGTTGAATCCCACAAAAGTGAGCTAACCCCAAAATGTACCCTCAGCAGATTGCAGCCTGTACAAAAGCAGACATATCACATATGCCTGCTTAAAGTGTAATGTTGCACTGAGCTACTAAACAGATGCAGATAGATATATTTCACATCTTAGCTTCTCCAGTAGCAGAAGGTAAAGTTTGCATTTATTTTATTTTTGGTAGACAGGATGAGATGCAATGTACATATACTTCTTTATGAAGTTGCAAGGAATTAGTCTGTCAACTGCCAATATTATGGCAACGCCTTTCTTTGTGAAGAATTATTTGTTGAACCACCTCATCTAAAATCTTGAGCTATTAGAGAAGGGACAAACTTATTTGATTAAATTTTCTCTTCAACACGCCTCCTCTCATGCAAATTTGATTCTTCTTTTTTGTCAAAGACCTGACACACGTACAATTTTCAAAAATAGGTGGTGGCACGACTAGACTTCAAGGCATCTACCAGTTTTGATACCATCCAAAAGCTTAGGGATGTTAGAGAACGGTCAAACTTAGTTAACTATGCATTCAATAATTTGTCACTTGGACATCTAAAAAGAGAGAAGTGGAGTGTTTTTCTTTAACGCCGTTCCACATCATTCTGAATATCAAGATAGGCAAAACTTAATTACAAGACACACCAATGTAACGACTAATGCTTTAGGGTCCAAGTTCAGTTGCAAGCTCGTACATTGGCCATTGGCATAGTCACTGTACACCTCACATTTCTATCATAGAGTTGGTGCAGAAAATGTTTGGAGTGTGTAAAATATTAAAGTTTCACAACAGTATTTGAACTGGATGAGGGACCGAGCACTTATATGATACACAATCACCAGAAAAAGGATTATTTGTCACAGTGAGTTTCCAGTTTGTATGCATATAAAAGAATGTAACAAGAAAATTAGGATTTTATTGGCTGCAGAGCAAGAGAGCCAGTGACCTAGCATAGCAGGAAAAAGAGAAGCAGCAGGGAGGATAAAGTCGTATGTTCAGGTAACAAGTAAAGGAGAAGCAGCAGGGAGGTAAAGTCATTTGTGCAGGTAACAACACAGTTCCCATCTTCAAATTATTGCAGATTTCTTATAATAGAAAAAAGAGTTGCAAGAGTAACCTCTTCCGACGATGAAAATTCAACAGTTGCTGGACTTCTCATTTCTGTAGAAGCAGCTTCCACCTGGGCGTCAAGTGCTGGATTCTTCATTTCTGCATTAGCAGCTTCCATCTGGACTTCAGCTACTCTCTTTTCGTCATGAGTACTATCTGTTTGCGCAACATCATTCATGTAATGCTCCACATGTTTTGAACTTTGTACTGCTGTTCTGTGATTGTCATTTTGCTGCGCGCTGTCATTCTCTGCATCTTCCATTTTCCTTCTAAGAATTCGATACAGAACTCCATCAAACATTGATCTTGCCACTAGCTCTGAGTTAGTATAGCTAACCAATAGAGTTAAGATGCATAAACAATTCTCACCTATTGGAAACGTCGTTGACCGTGTCCTTGGAGATTGGTTTGTTTGAAAATAATACTCCACGAAGAAGCTTTCCATCAATAACAGTTTCAATAGTATACCCGTCTAGAACACTTTTAGTGACTTTAGCTTGGAAGCTCCTCTTACCCTGGTGTTCATTTAAATAGAAATTCTGTCCACCTACATTTGAACGAGGGTGTCATTATAAGTACAGTTCATTTTCCCAAGCAAATGCAAGATAAAACTACTGGCAATGTCAGAAATATTGATGCAAAATGTCAAGTTCCTTGTGCATCACAGAAGATGCAATGAAAAAAAAAGACCAGCTATGACATTTAAAATTGTCACCTGCAAAAGTTTCTTTCAAGTGCAATGGCTAATGGGAGAGACATAACGTAAGCAACAATTGTTCGAGGCCAGTACCAATTTAGCAATAAAAAACTCAACCTTAACCGAGGAAGAATTTTCTTTATTGTCTCTCTCCGACATACATAAGAGAAGCCTCAAAAAGAATGTGCAATAAGGGAAGTCCCGACTACCTCTTCTAAAAATCCTCAATATCATCCCAAAAATATTGCGTTAAATTCTATTTGCCATACATACCACTCTAGGCCCCTGTTTCTTGTGGCTTAAAATTTTATCGGTCAACAATTAATTATAACCACACATTTCATAAGACCAACAATTTTTATCAACTTTTCAACCACACATTTCATGGAACCAACAACTTTTATCAATTTTTCAACCACACATTTTATCAACTTTTATCAAAATTTACTAAAAATCTAATTTTTAGCTACACCAAATAGGGGCTAACAATATCAACTAGGTAACCTCTTACAGTGACTTGAATCTATATATTCTATCGTCCAGATGGGACTATGCCATGTTCATACAGGAACTACTACTAAAGGAACATGAAATACTATACTTTGCAAAAAAGGAGACTAGAGCTAAAGAATTATTGATACAATTTTCTGCAAATTTGAATGTCACCAAAATGCCCTGGACTCTTATGCTTGATAAATAACAACAAAACTCAAGGTAAGCAATACATTCCAAAAACTAAATTAATATAAAACAAAGGGATAAATCCAAATTAATTGGTCAACAAATTTCGCCCAAATCATTTCTTGTGTGAAATTCCAAATTAGCTCTTTTTCCTAAAAGCACATGTTCTTCACTGGGCTTCATGAGAACAAGTGACAATCCACAATTGCTTTAAAATAGACACTGTTAAGAGAATACTGTCAGAGGCCTAGATAATATGGACTTACACTATTTTGAAGATACATATCTAAGAAACCAACTTAAACCGGTTATATGGTAATAACGTTTTCCTATCCCTTTTCCGGCTAAATAATAATATAATCAACCTGACAGACGTAGGAAAAATAAATAAATAATTAGCCAGCCCACATCATTCATGATCTTTTAAAACTATAATTCTAACTTTCATACTATTGATTCATAACCTAGGTAAATTACTCATTCCCACCTCCCCAGTGGAAAATTATATGTACAATAAAAGTTCCTACATTCACGGACTACAACCTGCATTTAGTAAAACAAGTTTTCCTATCAAAACAGTAATGCTAAATTAAAACGAGAATTCAATCCAAAACAGATTAAAACTGTATTTACCTGATGGCATATAACTTGAAATTGGCATTGGATGGTAAACAGTGGCATCATGTTCAACTCCCACGTAATTGGGTTCATACGCAGGAGCTTCTTTGTTCTGTACTCGGCATTTCAATTTCAGCTGCTTCCTCAACGATAACTTCTCCATCCGCCGTTCATCTCGTTCATTCTCCCTAGAAAGCCCTGGTGTTGGATAGAACCCAAACAAGATCCCATAGAATATATAAGGACTTAGTTTATAACATAGGAGCAATGAATGTGAATTTCCAGTAAAAGATAGGAAAAAGTTACCCATACCTGTGTGTAGATAATACATGTCATCCAGTGCTTCAAGATTCTTATTGCAACCTCCTATAAAAACAAGAACGCCTCCCATTTGCGGATCCAAACTTTCGCCTGCCATGGAAAATCTGCCAGAGGGGCCCTCGCCAGAAGCTATCACTTTGGTCCATATGCCATTTTCTACATTAAACCAGCACATAACTAAAACTAGAGGCTCTATACTTCACATTCAAAACCAGCCAAAAGTAGACATGCATGCCACTCAAAGTAATTTTCATTATCATTGATTAGTCACACACATTGATCGATCAATTCATGTACAAAGAAATTTTCTTCACCTAATTGAAGGACAGATCGAAGTGATTAATTTTTTTTTATTAACGTAAATACTATCTGAATCCCCAGGCAGGATGCTGCTACAGTGGCATCAGTATAATCCACATATTTTAATCCTTATAACGCAAGGATGTCAAAGAAACAAAAAACTTCAAGTCAGATCTTACCAATTCCTCTAATTAGATACTGTGAAAATAGGTAGGTTTTCTGCCAAGCACAAAAACTAGTTTAGGCATCCCTTCAACCGAATTAAGCACAAGCCATGCTTGGAAGGGAAAAAAGGTGGTATGTGGCTGTTTACATTGTTTTCGAAAACTGTAAAACACAACCTGCTATTAACCACGAGATTGATGTTCTGAATATGAAATTAGCCTTGAATTTCTCAACTCAAACAAGAAAGATAATGAAGTGATAGCGGAGAAAATGTGTCATCCGAATGTGTCCATGGTATTTCTTCCATCCATTCTTTTTTTGTAAATAAATATTATGATCAAACATAAAATACTTTCATTTAGCACATTAGTTTTCAATAAACAACATCCCAAGTGGATTGCATTCAATTAAATTTGGTTTCCCAAGGATCAACTCTGAAGATCTGGGTTTGAATTGACCTCGCCTAGTTTTTCAAAATTCTTCAAACAAAGCTTTAGTATTAAAACATGCTGCTTTTTATCCTATTTTTACTAAAACTCAAAGCAGAGTTCGGGAGATTTGTGTTCTCCAAATGAATCGCCAATTTCCCCCACAATCTTGAGTAGAACACCTCAGTTATAAGAAAACAATGGAAAAATTGGAGCAGATCAATTCTCATTTTAGCTTGGACAAAGGAACTGTCAGAATTTCCCCAATTTACAAGAATGACAAAATAGGACTTTATTTAAGTAGAAGTTTTCCTGCAACACAAGAGATGGAGATCTCTATATTCTTTCCTTTTTCTTTTATTTTTTTTTTCTTTATGTTTCCCACTCATCAGGAGACAGCAGGGACAAAAAGGTTGAGATTCAAGAAAAAATGAAATTCATGTAAAGAAGCAGCAAGTTATGACAAAATTTACATACCGAGATCAAGCATATAAACGTCATCATATAGGTTCTGCTCATCAGAGAAACCCCCAAAGACAAACAAGGTCTTGCCAAAAGCAATTGTTGTATGCCCACCTCGAGGCGGTAACAGCTGCCCCATAGTATTGAACTTGCACCACACAAGTGTATCTATTCACACGAGGAAGCCAAAATGAACCGTATCAAAGCATGCATCATTAATGCACAAAGCCTTATCCCACAATAATTGATATTGTAATGACATTGACACTAAACAGATGGCATTTTAATATTACCTGCATCCAGTATGTGGACATCTGAAAGATAGTAATCACATGAATCTTCACCTCCAATCACTATAATTTTGTTTCTCCAAGATGAGCAAGTATGACTGTCGCGCTTACTTGGAGGAGTGCCTGATGGTACCACACGTTTCCATGAAAATGTCTCTGCAAATGAGGGGACAGAAAGTTCAACATCTTGAATGATGCTCAATTACATAAGAGAACTGTTATGCAAGCACCAACTCTCCAAGATATTTAATTTTTTTTGGTTCATCATCCGAATTCATATTGACAGAGTTCTATCTAAAACCTATTCAATGCCACCACCTAAATGACAAAATCATATACATAAAACAAATATCTGGGCAACTTAACAGATACAAGAAGCAACTCTTGTGTAAAATCAAATCCACATTTGAAATTAAAACACAAGTTCAAGGATAATTGGTTAATCAATTACAAAGGCAATGAATACATATCACGTGCGGCTGATCAGATAGAAGATTATGTTTACTCAGGTTATCAATCACCTAGTTCCACCTAATCACCCTCCACTCCACTCCACTGGTTCCACACACAAGAAAAAGGAAAGTACAAGGATTTATGGCTGTTGCTGTTGACAATTTCATGCATCCTAATCAATCTTTTGTTCTATTGTCAAAGGGATCGGAAATAAGGAATTAAGCATCAAATAAAATAAAGTTCTCGTAAAAAATGAAGAGGCACCACCATCAAAAAGACAATAAAAACCCATCCAAAAATGTAAATGGGATCAACCACCTAAAAGTGACTACATGATTAAACAGCATGTACCGGTATTTAATATGTAGAGATCGTCATAGTATATTTCATTGTTCTCGGATTTGCCGCATCCACCAAATATGAAGAGTCGTTTACCAATAAGTGCTGCACTGTGCCCTTCTCTTGCCTCTGGTCCATCACCTCTTACACTCGGCGAGATCCACATGTTTGAGGCTAAGCATATTAAAAGTCAACAGATCATTTTTCAGATGATATAATTAGAATCAAGGTTTAGCTTTCTCATTTTTAAATATCTAAAAGCGAAAAATGAAAGGAAACACACAATGGGGATGTAGTCATTAGTTGGGAGACAGGAAGAAAATGAAAAGAGAAATTGACAGCGAGACAATCAAACACGTGACTTGGATATATGCATCTCCTAGTTATTGTTTTAAGCGCCAGAAGCTTATTCCTGGAGGCTTCAAAGTTTACCCTTTTGTGACCTTCATCAAGGATTGTGTCTTGACTTGCCTCAAAATATAAGCCTCGGACCGGCTGAGTCTTGCTCTTTTAGGTGGTTCTTTTACCATACTTAGCCTTTTGAGCTGGTTGGTCATAATCCATAGCATTTGCGTACCTGACTTAGCTTTTTGTATAGACTTGTTGTAACCCAAAACATCCCATGGGTTTTTTGGGGTTGTTTTCAAAAACAACCAAACCCAAAAAAAAAAAAAAAAAAAAAAAAAAAAAAGGACATGCAATAAGTGAATGAGCAAACAGCCTGTGCATACTCTAACCCTTTACTTCTACAACCAAGTGTAATACCCCCAAGTTTAGTAGCAAAACTTTGAAAGCAGCTAACCAATGACATGATACTTGCAATGTGTAACTTTTCTTATCTTCTCTTTTACTTTCGTTTAGAAGTCAAAGTAAGCAAAAGGGGCAATGACATTTGGAGTCCCAAACCTCTACATATAGTAGCGCTTGAGTCCCAAAGCTTTCAATTTTGTAGCACAGCCAGTACCCCCATTTCCCCTCCATACCTTTGTCGCCCCCATTTTCTCCCACCCTACATGGGTTGGCAGTTTGAGGGTGGAGGAGGGAAGCCAAGTGATACAAAACTGAAATGCCACGATATATAGGTTGATGACCTAATGCTATATTATGTAACGACTGGAAATCCAAGTGTAATCTTTCCATAGACACAATTCATAAATAGTTCACGTTAGTTGTTTTGCTTGTTATAAACTTCTAGCTTTAACCGTGGTACTTTCAATTGTTTTGAGACTTTATTCTGAGGGTTTTTAGATGGTTTGCGGATTATTATTGAGTGCAGTTTTGTACTTTTACATCTTTGAATCATTTAACTGATTTATGATAAGGCTTACAGCTCACAGCACTTTGAACTTATGCCTAGCCTAGCCTAGCCTTGCCTTGCACAGTTAAAACACTCGTTTTAGACTCTAAAAACTGCTCATAATGTGTGCTAGGATCTAAATATCATAGTTTTGAGCTGAAGCACGAAGTTAAAACTATGGTGGTAAAAACAGAATCAAGCCGGTACTAGTCTAAAGTCCCATTTAATGTAGCAGTGTAATCAAAATAAACTTTTCATCTGTTGTGAGAATTGGCTATGGCTTCACCTATAGAGCATACCCAAAGATTATTTTTTCTTATTCAGAAATTATCCCATAATATTGTAGTAATATAAATGGGAATAACGAAATATAGTGAAATGAATAAACAAACTCACAAGTATCCAGAATATGCAAATCATTAAGAGGCTTTTTCCCATCTGTACCGCCAAACACAAAAAGGTTATCTCCAATTGTGGTACAACTATGGCTGTCCCTCGGTGTAGGCAGTATTCCCTTCATCAGTGGCTCGCTCCATGTCATATTAACTGATCATCCGATACATAAGAAGGAAAACTGAAACACCTCAAAAACCTTTCTTGCACTTCAGCCTATGTGAACATGTACAAGCAGATATGATATGCAAAGTCAAGTGGTGACAACAATGCATGTTATGAACCTTTACCATTTACATCAATTCATAAGTCTAGGATGAAATGTTTTCATTAATTACTATTAACTTTCTCCGCAAAACGTGTCTAAACTTTTTCGAAAATTGTTTTTAAGAATTTTTAGTTCATAAACTTCTTTAGTAAAGGTATTACTTTTACTAATTTTGGGGCTTCACCTGACCTGCTCTATTATCAACAACAATTAATGAGAACAACCATGCAAGATTCTAAAAATCATATTCAAATTCACACTGGACCATTTGCACTATAAGAGATGAATTTTACAGTGAAAAGTGAACAAACGGCAGAAATTTAAACACGTTTCATCAAAAAAAGTAATACACTAAAATTTGTTCAATATTCAAGAAAAGCGAGAAATGACCAAAATGGACCCCGAGAATGCGTGAACAAAAACTATCCAAGATTCCTCCATATGCACACAAAATAATAATAATAATAATAATAATAATAATAATAATAAATAGTAAAAAAATTGAATAAAAAAAAAGAACATAGGGGAAAAAAAACAAATGGCACAGACCAGTGTGAAAGACATGAATTAGTGGATCTGAAATTAACAGTAAAAGAAACAAATTTTAAAGTAAATTAACCACACAGAGCTTCAAATTCATAGAGAAAGAAAATGGCAACAATAGGTTAAAACGAGAAATAGCACAAACCAGTGTCAAATACATGTACTTGATTGGTCTGGCATCTATCTTTGCCATATCCACCAAACAAATAAAGAAGTTTTCCTCCTCTAATAGCGTTGCATGTGTGGCCCCACCTCACCCCAGGCCCACCCCTTTGCTGCTGCACCTTCTCCCATCTCATCATCTTCTTCTGATGACCCGTTCCGAGTACTAATCAGTGAAAATAAAATTGCGAAACCCTCCAAGAAATCGAAGCGAAAGGAATAAAAAATTGTGCAAGAGAGAAATCAATAAGAGAGAGAAACTGAATGAAAAGAAATAAAAAAAAAAAATTGAACAAGAGAAAACAATCTGTAAATGAGAGAGAGAGAGAGTGAGAATAAAAAATTGGGTTCGATTTTGATTTTGATTTATTATTGATTTGGCAGTAAGCCCTCATTCAGCATTTAAGACTGTAGGTAAACAGAACGAAGAGAACGAGGCGTCATTTGGTTTGGAAAATTACACTCGTAACCCCTTTCTGGTTTAAGGGCTTGTTTACATTAATTTAGCGTTAATTGTTCCAAATTTCTTGAACAAGAGAAAACAATCTGTAAATGAGAGAGAGAGAGAGAGAGTGTGAGAATAAAAAATTGGGTTCGATTTTGATTTTGATTTTGATTTTGATTTTGATTTTGATTTATTATTGATTTGGCAGTAAGCCCTCATTCAGCATTTAAGACTGTAGGTAAACAGAACGAAGAGAACGAGGCGTCGTTTGGTTTGGAAAATTACACTCGTAACCCCTTTCTGGTTTAAGGGCTTGTTTACATTAATTTAGCGTTAATTGTTCCAAATTTCAGTGAGTAATAACATTCTTTAAAGTTCAGTGAATAACCCCTTTTTCAGTGAGTAATGTACATTTTTCAAAATTAATAATTTTACAAAAAATAAACAGACATATCTGCCTTTAAAGATTAATTTTAAGAAAATAGGAGGATTAAATGTTATTTCCCATATCAGGTGGTAATTAATTTTTAATAATTATAATTAATAAAAATTTAATTAAATCTAATCTACAGATTCAACTTACCCAGCCCCCACCCCACACACCCCTCCGCGCATCATTCTTTTAGAACCCCTAAAAAAATTTCTCTGACTATTCATTCTCTCTCTCCCGTCTCTTCTCATCCACCCCACCCCTACCGCAACAATCATCCTCTATGACTCCAATGACTACCCATTTCGGCAACATTGTGAGGCCTTTTTTAATAATTAGGCCCTGTTTGGCACCCATTCTTATCAAAATGCATTTTTCTCTCTCTTCTTTTCAACTACACATTCTTTATTAAAATAATATTACACGTAAATCAAAAACTTTTTCTTATTTTTCAATCACACATTTCTTATCAATTTACTATTCAAAAATACATTTTCACATAAAAATTCCTACCAAACACCCTCTTATAATTAATAAAAATTTAATTAAATCTAATCTACAGATTCAACTTACCCAGCCCCCACGCCACACACCCATCCGCGCATCATTCTTTTAGAACCCCTAAAAAAATTTCTCTCACTATTCATTCTCTCTCTCCCGTCTCTTCTCATCCACCCCACCCCTACCGCAACAATCATCCTCTATGACTCCAATGACTACCCATTTCGGCAACATTGTGAGGCCACTGATGACGAATCCGACAATTCAGCAGTGCGAGACTCCAATGATTTTTTGTTGACGGAGACTGGTGGCAATATCAAAAGAATGCTGACTTTGGAGTGGGCTTTCCGACGTACTAGAATGTGCAGATGGAGGTGCTCAAAGCTCGGGACAGAGCGAGGTATGCTCGAATCATTGGTATCTCAAATCTGTGTTTACCACCGTGATTTGAAACCAAAAAATCTACTATTGGTTGAGAATGAAATCTAACGATATCTGATTTTGGGTTAAGTGCATTGGCTGCAACAATAAATGTGGGTTAAAAAGACTGTTGTATATCTTGACATTTTTGCTATGTTGAAAGGTGAAAGAAGGATGGATTTGAACTTCTTAGGATGAACGAAGCGAATTTTTTGATTTGGCTACAACGATGAAGGGTGCTTAGTTTTTTTAATCTTGTTTAGCCAAAGTTCTGTGGTGACCTCATGTGACCAAGTATGTGTTTTTGTGACTGTTCATGATCAATTTTTTGTTGATTGTGACTTAGTCACAGTTAAGATTGACATGATCACAAACAGTCATATTGAATACAAATTTAATCATAGTTAGACATATCAAAGACAAATTTGATCGCATTTAATTACAGATAACATAGGCTAGTGAATTGGTTACGTACAGTTACAAATTAGACATTCACAATGAAAACAAGTTTGATCACAAAACACAGGCATAGTCACGAACAATAAATCTGGACACAGATAAATTTTTAGATAATGGGTTAAAAAGACTGTTGTATATCTTGACATTTTTGTTATGTTGAAAGGTGAAAGAAGGATGGATTTGAACTTCTTAGGATGAACGAAGCGAATTTTTTGATTTGGCTACAACGATGAAGGGTGCTTAGTTTTTTTAATCTTGTTTAGCCAAAGTTCTGTGGTGACCTCATGTGACCAAGTATGTGTTTTTGTGACTGTTCATGATCAATTTTTTGTTGATTGTGACTTAGTCACAGTTAAGATTGACATGATCACAAACAGTCATACTGAATACAAATTTAATCATAGTTAGGCATATCAAAGACAAATTTGATCGCATTTAATTACAGATAACATAGGCTAGTGAATTGGTTACGTACAGTTACAAATTAAACATTCACAATGAAAACAAGTTTGATCACAAAACACAGGCATAGTCACGAACAATAAATCTGGACACAGATAAATTTTTAGATATTTTTTTACAATGGAGCATATAGAGAAATTTTTTTCTATCACCAGAGTCGGAGCGATCGCCGGAGCCAATGCTCATCTCAAGTGGAGATGTGGAGAGAAGATGATATAGTAGGGTGAGGTGAGGCGTGTTGGGTGGAAATAATTAATGTATATTATAGCATTATATTATAATTTAGTATTTAATAAATTTATTTACCACATGATTTTTGAAATTTTTTAGTGAGTTTGTTATTTATGAAATGTAATATTTAGAACTAAGATTTATGTATTAATCCCTTTATTTTATTATTTGCTCAGGATTATTTTTTGGGTTACTTACAAAATGTCCCCTAAAATTAGGAATCTTTGGAAAGGGTTAAATCTATTAATGGTGAACAACCTACTCAATGTTACTATCATCACTCAATTTGACTTTGTTTCATGGTCATCCAACTTTATATTTAATATCACAATGGTCATTCAAGTTGATTTTATTTCACCATAACCACTTAATTTTATATAACATTTCATCATGATCACCCAACTTTCTTTACACCATTTTTATTAATTTAAGTCAATCATATGTAATTTGTATTTCACAATCACAAGAAAGAAGTGTGTAACAAAGAAATGCCTACATCACGAAGTAAAAATGAAATTCAAGTTCAATTCTAGTAGAAGCTAATAATCAATGCTCAGCTTCCTCACAAGAACGAGCAATTATAGTTTGTTTATTTGAGCTCCAAGAAATGCACAATAAATTTGCAATCTTATAAATATATTTGTTGGTATCAGGTACACAAATTAAAATATATAAACAAATAAAGGAAAAACAGCATTAAAATCAAGGGGGGAACCAAGAATTTACGTAGAAGGGGGGCAAAACTTATTTTATTTTATTATTTTAAATTAACTAACAAATAAAATTCATACATAACAAAAATAGTCATAATATAACTTTGCCTATTAAAATAGTTCCCAATGAAGTATTACTGTATAAACTTCATCTATAATAGAATTTACATTTAATTTTATAGTTAATCTTCGCTCGTCGTAGATTGTAGTAAAATTAGCAGGAAAATCATCATCCATTTTGTCAAGCGTCATCGGCTTTGCATGTTTCACTTTCTTCCATTTTAAAGTCTAAATGTATAAGAAACCAAAATACTTAAATATACTTAGAATCCAAAAATAATAATCCAACCACTTATCTAAATATTCTTCAATATTATAACCAATCAACAATTCAACACCGAATCCGACGAATCAGAAATAAACACATTCTAATACAAAATGCAATTCAAGGTGTTAATAGACAAAAGCAATGTGATGTGTGTAGTATGTGACACATTCAAATCGAGTATGAAATTGGAGCAAACAAGCATGAATCTGGAACGATAATGACAAAATGTTACAAATTAGAGAAATAATAATAATAATAATAATAATAATAATAATAATAAATTGCATGCATAGTATGAAATTCAGAAATGTTGAAATCATCAGTCCATTCACTAGATTCATGGATTTTATAATTGAAACCGGGGAAACTTCGTGTTCTACTACAAAAGAATTAAGGAAAACTTGCTAATTATTCCTCGTTTTTTACTTGTCTTCTTCAACTGAGAGATACATTCCTAAATTCTTTTTTTAATTATTAAACTTTTTCAGACCGTACTCTAATTATTTAAATCAAATTCATTTTATTAGGTATGTTTTGAACCAATTATACAAATATAGCCACTGCTTGTCTCCTATTCCCTCAAAACCTTTTTTTTTTTTTTTACATACTCATTTTCAACCACATATTTATGAAATAAAATATTTTACTCGTTGACCCAAAATATTTTCTTACTTTTTAACCGCATCTTCTCTAAAAATTCACTATTCAAAATAATATATTTTTTTTTAAAAATAGCTACCAAATAGAGGCATTGTTGGGAATTTACTTAACATGTACAGCGAAAAATTAAAACACATTTCGATTTTCATCAAAAATCGTCTTTGTGTTTGGATAGAAATTGTGATAAGATTGTACATTTTCCAGATCTGCAAACTTCTTTACTATTCTTTTCGTTCCAGCAATATCGATTCGCCACTCACAGCTGTCCAATTGTACAGCCTCCAATGGTGATCCACACAGAAAACAAGATTGCAGTTGCCAGAGTTTTCTCCTCTTGTGCTAGCAAGAATAATTATGAGAAAACATACGGATTGAAAACCCTAGCCATGTATTTATATAAGCCCAAACGGGTCTAATCTGGTCTGGTCCAATATTTAATTAATCCATTTAATTAAATTCGGTCTGTGAATTAATTAATCAAATTAATTAATTCGGGCCTATAAATAACCAATCCAATTAATTAATTTATCCAACGATTGTTAAATTAATTAATTGACAAATTGTAATCTTCCAATTCTCTTTTATGTGCGACCCATCAGGTTCCTGATCACGATGCCTAACGACGTGAAATATTATTTTGATCTAA